ATGCCATAAACCTCTTTGTGAGACACGCTCCCCATCCGTCAGGGTTAAAAAATACGACCCCATCTATTTAAAAAAAACCCCAATAAATGAGGAATCTGGTGGAATAAGTAGCCCATTAGGCATGGCACTGGGTTTAAGCTGGAATTCTGCCTCCTCAGATTTTCTAACACTTCCCAGATGGATAAAGATTGACCAAAAATAGAAGCAGCCTATAAAAAGCTGATTTTGATCCCATTCTGAGGGGAACCTTTCTCCTTACCTGGCACCCAGAGCCTGGAATGGCACATTCCAGAGCAGATGGAGGGCTCGGGACCACCAGCACCTGGAGCATTCCAGGCTGCCAAGCCTGGTGTCTGCCACCAGCAGATCCCATGAGAGAGATCCACGTCCTCCTGCTCCTCCTGGATCTCTCCATGCAAGAGCTGGGACCTCAGGAAAATGCTGTCCTGATCAAACCAGTCCTTTTCCCAGGTCAGCTTCAGTGTGCACCAAATTCAGGTCACTTTAAACTTAATCCAGACTATTCCTGGCCTCCAGCTTTGGTGACAGCCTCAGCATTAAATTATTAATACCTAAATTCTATAAATTCCCAGATTTGCCACCAAATTCAGGTCACATTAAACTTAATCCAGACTATTCCTGGCCTCCAGCTTTGGTGGCAGACTCAGCACTAAATTATTGACACCTAAATTCCACAAATTCCCAGATTTGAGATTTGCCACCAAATTCAGATCACAATAAGATGAATCCAGACTATTTCTGGCCTGCAGCTTTGGTGACAGCCTCGGCATTAAATTATTGGCACCTAAATTCCATAAATTTGGAGTGGAACCAGTGGTAAATAGAAATATCTCCCAAAACACCCAACCTGCAATCATTTCCTGTTCCACACAGGCTGTGTTGGATGTGGCAGCATCCCTGAGGTGCTGCTGGAAGGAACCTGGGGAAAAAGGAGTTGGGAATCTCCTCACTCACCCCACATGAGCAACAAGGAGCAGGTCGTGCTTCCAGGAAAAATATTCCTGTTTAATCCCTACCAAGCAAATTCTAAAGCTTTTAAAACTCGATTTCTCTGTTTTAAACCAAACTGAGGTGAATTTGTGTCTGCCTCAAGCTCAGATCCATCTGGATAATCCCGCATCAGGGCTCCTGTTGGAAGGATGTCCCTGGAAATGGCACATCCCAGTTTAGGCAGGTCGATAAAATTCTCTCTTTGGTGAAAAACTGGGAGATTACAGATCCAGGGGAGGCTGTGCTGGTAAAGGATTCCTGGTAAATCCCCAGTAAAGCAGAGCCAAAGATTTGCTGGGAAAAGGCCTTTCCTGCCCTTTTGGTGAACATTCCAGCGGGCAGGGACACGCAGGAGATAAAGGAGGAAATCCCTTTCGGGTTCACAGCAATCCATCCAGGGGGGGAATGTCTTCCCAAAAAGAAAACAAATCATGCCAAGACTTATCTGGTGTAATTGCAGCGCTCCCCTAAAAGCCTCTTTTCCCAGTGGTAGCCAGCAAATCTCTGGAAATGCCAGAAGAAAGGGATTGTTCATATAAACACATCCATTTCCAGGGGAAGTTTACTCTTCCTATAGCCAGAGGATGTTTATTTTGTGGAAAAGAGCACGTTAAAACCTTTCCTCTCTTCTCTTCCATCCCTGGCACTCAGGAGCAGCCATTCCTCATTCCCGAGGTTCAGCAGGTCAAGGCAAGGGGGAGCCCCAGTGGAAACGTGAGGAAAAATAAATACAGGGCATAAAATGGATAAATAAAATAGCTGAGCTGGAGTGTGGAGGCTGAAAATTCCCTGGCTGGGGAACTGACAAAGGATGGCTGAGAACTGTCAGCTCTGTGGGGTGATCCCAAATATCCCCTGGACCACAGGCTGGCATCCCAGTGCCTCTGCTGCCCTTTGGAATGTGGCTGGAATGCCGGGGAGGCCGGGAATGCTCCGTGCCTGATGTGCTTCCAGCAGCTCTCAGAGATGCAAAATCAATGGCAACGATTTGAGCTCGGGTTTAACAAAGTCCTAATGAAGTTTAATGGGTGCCATTAGGAAAATTGGGAGCACCAGCACAATCCATCATTGCACAGATAAATGGGCAATGGGAATAAGGAATATCTGGGGGTTTTTTAGCACTACTGAACCAGCATCTTCTGTATCCAAAGGGAAAACCACCAGGGAAAATTCCTAAAATTCAAGCTATTGTTTCCTGTCCCTGCTTGCTGCATTATTGTAACTTTTTCTGCTTTCAGACTTGGCAGCTGCAGCCAGCTCTGTTTTCTGCTCTGTTTCTACGGCCTGTTTCCCCAGTTTTCAGAAAATCTTCCTACTTTTACTATTTCCCACAGTTCCCAGGCTGGAACTGGGAATAAAACCAGCAAACACCCACACAAAGGATGAAACCCTGGTTTGGGGCTTCCAGTCCAATCCCAGGACCTCATCCCAGGGTTTTGCAGACTCCAAGGATGGAGTTTGCACAGCTTCTCTGGGTTCCTGGAAGAGCTGAGAGGAAGGAGCTGAAAATTCACTTTCTGCTTGCCTTGGGCACCAAAGCAGCTTCTCAGGAATGGCTGAAAAAGCTGAAAATTCACTTTCTGCTTGTCTCGGGCACCAAAGCAGCTTCTCAGGGGCGCCTCTGGCTCCTCTGCTTCCAGAGCAGGGAACCCAGCAGGTCTGGGCATGGAAGGAGAATCCCAGATGAGCTCTGGAGTTCAGTGTTCAGGCAGGGGGTGCTGGTGAAAGTTCTGGAATTTCTGAGGCTCGTCAAGGTGCCAAGAGGAAAGCACTGTCCCAAAGAGAGAGAAAACCCTGGAATCATGGAATGCTTTGGGTTGGAAAGGAGCCTAAAGCTCATCCCAATCCATGGGCAGGGACACCTTCCACCATCCCAGGCTGCTCCAGCCTGGCCTGGGACACTCCAGGGATCCAGGGGCAGCCCCAGCTGCTCTGGGAATCCCAGCCCAGCCAGGAATTCCCAATTCCCAGTGTCCCACCCATCCCTGCCCTCTGGCAGTGGGAGCCATTCCCTGGCTCCTGTCCCTCCATCCTTGTCCCCAGTCCCTCTGCAGCTCTCCTGGAGCCCCTGCAGGCCCTGCCAGGGGCTCTGAGGTTTTTCCAGAGCTTTCTGCTCTCCAGGCTGGACATTCCCGGCTCTCCCAGCCTTTCCCTCTGATCCTCTCCATGGTCTCCTCTGGACTCTCCAGCAGCTCCACGTCCTTTCCATGCTGGAGATCCCTGAGGAAAGAAATCACCTCAGTAACAACAGCAAAACCTGGGCATGAACTTCAGCTTTCAGCTCCAGCTTTTGGACACCGAGGAGTTTCCCTGAACTGCAGCCACGTGGGTTTTTCCAAAAAGGCTTTCCAGGGAGGAATTAGGAACCCTGTCGTGTGCATCTCATCCTCAAACTGAGAGCAGCAATCTCGGAGGGAAGAATTTAATCAAAGCCAGCTGCTAATTACTTTCCTGACACCAGGGGAGAAGGATGCTGGCATCCAAAAGATCTGGAAGATTTTTCCCTTATTAATATTTGATACATCTGTAATTGGATCGTTTGATTCCGCAGTCTCCTTTGAATAGGAACTTTATTGAAATGAATCTTTAGGAATTCAGGCCACAAACTTGAGGGGCTGATAACTCATGGATTGATTGGAGTATGTGGAAGTGGAGATCAATTGGGATTGCCTAAGGACAAGTCAATACAGGCTGGATTTAATCCACAGTGCTTCCTATCAGAGGACAGGAATTACATTCCCTAAAGAGTTAAAGTTAAATTTCTCTGATTTCTCATCCTTCTTTTGCTGAAGTTCAGAGATTCCACATGAATATTTAATTCAAAAGCAAATGGGAATTAAGTGTGCTAACATTGAATTAATAAAAGAGTTGAGTGGCATCCAATGGTGAGCAAATATGCTCACGACAAAGTCCAAAAATCAAAATTGCAACATTAGAGCTACTTAATACATCACATTGTTTAGGAATGGATATCACCGTTTCCTCTTGATCCTGATAAAACAAAGCCAAGACTTTATTAAATGCAGTAAGAACATTGTAAGGCTGAGTATTATTGCCCTGGCCACAAACCCAATGTCCTGCTCTGATTTTGAACTATGGAAACCTCTGGCGCTGGTTTATGTTAATAAATTTCTGCTAATAAACCACTGACAAAGCAAAATAAATGTCCAGAAACTTCTGGTTTAGAAGGAAAATAAATCCAAGGCCTTGTGCAAAGCCACTGAGGGACGGGAACGCCCTAACTTTTATTTGGGAGAGATTAAAATTCATTTTTCTTCACCAGCAACGCTGCTTGGAACAGACAGCGAAGAAATTACAAAAAAATGAGAAATACTTTAACCCTTGGGGTGTGACCATTCCCTGGGGAGCTTTTCCACTAAAAGACCAACAAAATTAACAGGGAAAGAAGCCATTGAAGCAGGTTTAAAATATTTTTATTCTTATTTTGTAGAAGTTATTTGAGTATTGCCTTTGAAGTCACGGTTTTGTGGCAGAAGCGCCACTGATGCTCCACATTCCCAGCGAACACCTGGCTTTGTGCTTTTCCTTACAGGGAACAGCCTCCCCTCCTTTCAGTTCCCTTCAATAAACCCCTTTTCCCCTTTTTCTCCCCCTTTTCCCCTTTTTCTCCCCATTTCCCCCTTTTTCTCCCCGTCTTCCACTTTCTGGGTCCCAGGGAACCATGAGGGGGACGGGGCGGCTGACGCTCCGTGACTGCCCCCTGGCGGCCGGCGCGGGAACAGCACCCACGGCCGCGCTTCTCCGCCCCTCACCCGGGGCAACACCGCCTTGGGAGCACCCAGGGGACACCCCGGCCCCGCCACGACCGAGCCCGGCCCCGCCACGACCGAGCCCGGCCGCGCCGATCCCACGGGAGCCTCCCCGGCCGCGCCGGCCCCGCCGCCATCGCCGCCTTCCCTCACGGCCCCACCGCCCCTCCCGCAGCCCTGAGCAACCCAACGCCGAGCGCCGGATTCCGCACGGCGCAGCTCCGCGCCCATCGAGGTGTCGGCGCATCGGCTGGCTCGGCCTGGGTGCGCGCGGCGAAGGCGGGTGGGCGCCGCCATTTTGCAGGAAGAGGTGAGGGAGGCCGGGGGCTCCTTTGGCTTTTCCTCTTTTCCCGCTTCCTTCTCCCGTTTCCTTCTCCCATTTTCCCATTTCCTTCTGCTTTCTGGTCAGCTTCCTCTGCCTGTCCGCGGCAGCGCCGCTGCTGGGACGCGGGGAGGCCGTGAGGGGTGTGAGGGGGCTCCGGGGCTGGGGAGTTCGGCGCCTTCTCTTCCCTTTCCCCTTCTTTGTTCCCTTTCCCCTTCCCTGTTCCCTTCCCTGTTCCCTTTCCCCTTCCCTGGTCCCCGTTGTGCTCTCTGCCCGCTGCCGTTCTCTTTGCAGGGTGTCCGGGCCTGTGGGCGCGGGGAGAGCAGCGTCTGCCATGGCCAATGTGAGTGAGTGACGCCCGAGCTTGCGGATATCCCGGGAACAGCGCAGTTGAGGATTAAATGGAGTTACAAACAGGTTTGGGGGGGGGAAAAAAACAAACCAAAAAAAACCTTTAAAAATAATTTAATTCCGTGGGCAGGGACAGCTCCCGCTGTGCTCCAGGGTTTCAGGGTTCAGAGGCAGCCACAGATCCTCAGAGGGAAGAATTCCTCCCTAAAATCCCAATCCACTTTGAACACCCCAGGAATAACAGCGTCATTAAGGATTCAATCCATATTTTTCGTGCTTTTTCTGTCACTCTGAGCTCGGGCACAGCGGAGTTCCGTGTTTTGGAGCACTCAGCTGATTTCGGGAGCACAAATCACCTTTTATTGATTGTTTTTATTGCTCCCGCCGCGGGGACATGAATAATTCATGTTTCTTGCGTGGTGCCAGGTGTGTAAATATTTGCATGAGTGAGCTGCAATTAGCGACATCTCCGTGTTAAGTCAGGCTGATAATAAGGAAAAACTCTCTTTTCTGCTAATTACACGTTGGCTGTAATTGTTTACATCTGTTTATAGCATCATCATCATGGTGCAGAAATTAATTCCAGTAGCGATTTGATGTGATAAAGAAAAAGGGTTTGAGTGGAGTCAGGTTTTTGTTGTGTTACAGGAACCTTTTAAAGCCCTTTTAGAAGGAGACAGCTCCAGGCTCGAGCTGTAAATAATTGATTTAAGTCATGCCTTAAATGTGGCTTGAAGCATTTGAGTTTTTAGAATTTGGTGGAAATTATTTTATATTTACACAGAAGAGCTGGATGAAAAACTGCCTTAGGTCCTGGTGCTTCAAATACAATTTTTACATAAAATATCCAAATAGCACCACTTATTCTGTTCTTTTAGAAGTAAATTACTTCTGAAAGTGCCTCTTTTGATGTAAAATTGCATTCATTTTTCTAGAATCGAAGCTGCAGCTCTTGGGGAAAATCCTTTTGTGTTATTTCCTCAAAAGAATTGTTATTCCTCACCTGCAAAGTTGAATTTTCCAAAACCCTCCCACACTGTGGCGGGTGGGGTTTGTGTTTTCCAGGAGATAACCATGGAGACAATCCCTGTCCATAATTTAATTTAAATTGTGGGGTTTCCCTGGTGCTGTTTCCAATTTCCAGGGCTTTTTCCTCACGTGAGAGGCCTTTAATCAACACTAAAACCACTTTAAGGCTTTATCTTTGCTTGGAACAGCAAAAATATAAAAATAACAATAAAATATTTCTACAACTTGATGCTACAGCTGGCCATAATTCAAATTTTAATGTGATTATTGAGGGAGGATTTTTCTCGTGACTCACAGAGCCGTGTTTAAATGATTCTTTGGATTTTTATTATCAAATTATTCTTTTATTTTATTATTAAATTATTATTTTAATGGGTTTTTTTCTCACCTCAGGTGCTCTGTAACAGAGCAAGATTGGTCACCTACCTGCCAGGCTTTTATTCCTTGCTCAGAAGAGTTGGGAATGCCAAGGCTTTTTCCACTGCAGGATCCTCTGGCTCAGATGAGCCCCACGTGGCTGCTGCACCTCCTGATTTATGTAAGAAAAACCACATTTATTCCCTGCAAATCCCAGTTCAGAAGTGGGATTTTTGACTTGGGAGAGGAGAAAAATCAAATTCATGAAAAAAAGCAAATTTAGGGAAAAAAACCCCATATTTAGAAAAAAGAAAAAGCAGATTTGTTCCTTTGAAATCTGAATTCAGAATGGAGATTTTTGACTTGGTAGAAGGAAAAAAAAAAGCATGTTTAAGAAAATAAAGCACATTTTAGGAAAATACATTTAGAAAAATAAAAGTGAATTTATTCCCTTTAAATCAGGATTTGGAAGTGGGATTTTTGACTTGGTAGAAGAGAAAAAACACATTTAGAGAAAAAAAAAAGCAAATTTATTCCCCTGAAATCCCAGTTTTGAAGTGGGATTTTTGCCTTGTGCGTTGCTGATGTTTGTGATCAAATCCTTGTGTGGCAGAGGGGTTTCCCTGCTGGTTTTGGGGTTTTTTTGGGTTTTCCTTGACCAGTTTTGGGGTTTCCTTGACCAGTTTTGGGATTCCCTGACAGATTTGGGGATTTCCTGACCAGATTTGGGATTTCCCTGGATGAGTTTTGGGTTTCCCTGACTGATTTTGGGGATTTCCAGACCATTTTTGGGTTTCCCTGGCCGTTTTTGGGGTTTCCCTGACTGGTTTTAGGTTTTCTGACTGGTTTGGGATTTCCCTGACTGGTTTTGGGGTTTTCTGACCAGTTTTGGGTTTCCTTGCTGGTTTTGGGGTTTCCTGACGGGTTTTGGGTTTCCTGACCAGTTTGGGGTTTCCCTGCCATTTTTTGGATTTCTCGACTGGTTTTGAGTTTCCCTGACCTTTTTTGGAATTTCCCGACCAGTTTTGGGTTTCCCTGACTGGTTTTTGGGGTTTCCTGACGGGCTTTTGGGATTTCCCTGATGGGTTTTTGGCATTTCCTGATGGGTTTGGTGTTTCCCTAACTGGTTTTTGGGGTTTCCTGACAGGTTTTTGGGGTTTCCTGACGGGTTTTGGGTTTCCTGACCAGTTTGGGGTTTCCATGACTGGTTTTAGGTTTTCTGACCAGTTTGGGGTTTCCCTGATGGGTTTTTGGGATTTCCTGATGGGTTTTGGGTTTCCTGACCAGTTTGGGGTTTCCCTGACCAGTTTTAGGTTTTCTGACCGGTTTGGGATTTCCCTGATGGGTTCTGGGTTCCCTGGAATGTTTTTGGGGTTTGCTGACCGCTGTGGGTTTCCTTGCTGTTTTGGGATTTCCTGATCACTTTTGGGGTTTGCTGACCGCTGTGGGTTTCGCGCTCCCTCAGGCCCCAGGACGGTGTGGCCGGACGAGCTGATGGGGCCCTTTGGCCCCCAGGACCAGCGGTTCCAGCTGCCAGGGAACATGGGCTTCGGGTGCCACCTGCACGGCACGGGCAGCCAGCGAGCCCCGCCCGGCCCCAGCCTGCCCGACCTGCTGGCCGAGCCCTCGGCCAGCGACAGGCACGAGTTCGTCGTGGCCCAGTACATCCACGAGTTCCAGGTGAGGCAGCCCTGCAGGGAGAGCACGGCGCTGCTCTGCCTCGGGGAGCACGGCTCTCTCCTTCCTCAAAAAGCACAGCTCTTCTTCCTCAGGAAGCACAGCTCTGCTCTGCCTCAAATTGTGTTCTTTCTGCACAATATTCTGCCACAGAAGCTGCCTCAAGGTGGTGTTTTAGGAGGAAAAGATCTCAGGCTGGTTTGAAACAGCATTTTAGGAGTGGTTAATGGGAGGATTTCAGTCTCCAAAGCTGCTGTTGGCCAAGTCTCACCACGTTTTACCCAGGAAAATTCAAATGTCTTTCAGTATTTTATTTCATGGATCTGATTGGGCAGTGTTTAGTTCTAAAAACCATGAAATCTACCCAGGAATCCTCCAATTTATAATAATCCCCCCTCTCATTATGAGAGGATTCTGGCAGTGTTCCAGATTCATCAGTATGAATACACCCAGTAAAATTGAAATTTCCCTCAGTATTTTATTTCATGGATCTGGATTTGCAAACTTTGGGCAACCTTAAGTTCTAAAAATCATGAAATTCACACAGAAATCCCCCAGCATCACAAGGAGAGAATTCTGGCACCCATTCAGATTCATCATTATGAATATAATAAAAAATAAAATGCAATTCTTAATCAACAAAATTATTTAAAGTGAAATTTAAAATAAAACAGTTGTTAATTAAACCAATAAAATATTAATAAAATAATTCTAAAAATCAGTTTGTTGGATCCTAAAAAGCCATAAAGGAAAAAAAAGGGGGCTTTTTTGCCATTAAATTAGTTAATTTAGTGCAGCTTTTAGAATCAGGGAATAGCTGAAATCTATCAGTTAATAAATAATAATTATTTCAAATAATTAATTGAATTTTCTGTATTTATAGTTTATATATTTTATATATATATATTAAAAATATGTTAAAATATATATTTTATATATATATTCTATCATATATATTTCTATATTTGTATATTTACATATGTTATATTGTGTATTTATGTTTATATTATATAAAATAATATCTTTGCATTCATATGTATTCTGCTTCAACATAATACAGTTCAAATAAAATAGAAAATTTTGGTATTTCTATACAATACAAATATTTCTGTGTGGATTTTGGTAACACCAAAATATATTTTATTTTTTACATATTTTAATATATATTTTTCATATATTTTAGTATCTATTTTTAATATATTTTAATATTTTAAATAACTTTTAGTAACACTCAATATTGTTAATAATATTATTTCAACATTTACTTTGAAAAGTGTGAAGTGCCACTGCAAATCATCTCAAACTGCTCGAGTGTCTCTGATCACTAAAGCCTATTTTGATGTCCAGAGTTATTCCTGCCTGACACTAACTGAGAAAATTGGAATTTTCCCCTTTTTTAGGGTTCTGATGCTCCCCAGAAGCAGCAGATCAACAATGCTGAGACCTACTTTGAGAATGCCAAGGTGGAATGTGCAGTGCAAGCCTGTCCTGAGCTGCTGAGAAAAGGTTCATCTTTATTTCCAGCCAAGAAATTCAGCTTTGAAATGTAACACCACTGAATGTCAATGCTCTGCCTCAGAATGTGGTGTAGGAAAGGTTAATTCAGAGTTCATCATTACAAAAATCCCTTTGGATAGAATGGAAACCAATTGCTGTTGGCAATATTTAATATTTAATTTAATATTTTAATTGTATTTTTTTATATTTGCTGTAGATAATATTTAATATTTCATTTAAATGTAATTTTTAGTTGTTTTAGTGCCAGGGAAAATCTGGAGTTAATTCCTTACCCAAAATCCATTTACCAAATCCGTTGGAATTACTGAACAAAACAGCAAATGGGAATCAGGAACTTCTGCCAGGTCTGAATTTGTGTTTTTCATTTATTCAGGAAGGAAATGAGCAAAATTAAATGGGAATAAAACAGAGTAGAATGGAAAGCAAAGCTGTGCTGCTTACACTAGTCAATATTCCATTTAAAATGTAATTTTTAGTTGTTGTATAGGGAAATTTTGGAGTTAATTTCTTACCCAAAATCCATTTATCAAATCCTTGGAATTGCTGAACAAAACAACAAATGGGAATCTGGAAACTTCTGCCAGCACTGAATTTGTTTTAATTTATTCAGGAAGGAAATGAGCGAAATTAAATGGGAACCATTTAATTAAATAAGAAATAGAAATAATAATAAAAGAATATTTAATAATAAATAAGAAATAATAAAAATAAACAATAAATTTTATTTCATAATAAATTTTTATTCAAAAATAAATAATAAATTTTATTTTATATTTATTCATAATAAATAAGAAATATATAAACATACATATAAATAATAAATAATCAAGCTATCGATCTAATATTTAAATTAATAAATAATCAAGTTATTTAAATAATATTTAAATATTCATACTTTTATTTATAATAATATAACTATATATAATTTAATATGTAAGTTTTATAAATAAATAGGTATATAGTTCATATATTAAATAATATAAATATTATATTTTTATCTTATATTATATTTATTTATTATATATTATATCATTATATATTATTTTAATATCTATATTATATATATTATATATTATATTTATTACTTTTTAAAATAAATAATATAAATATATAATATATATTATTATATTATAATTTTTATTTCTATATTTTAATAACACTTTTAATATTTATATATAAAATGAAATAGAATTTGATTTTGATTTCTTATATAAAATATAATAACAAATACAAAAGAGACTCAAACCCGTTCCCGAGGGCACTGTGCCTGGGTGGCAGGCCAGGCTCCCGTGGCACAGCACCAAACTGTGTTCCCATTCCCAGATTTTAAATAAAAGAGACTCAAACCCGTTCCCGAGGGCACTGTGCCGGGTGTGGGTGGCAGGCCAGGCTCCCGTGGCCCAGCACCAAACTGTGTTCCCATTCCCAGATTTCCAGGCGCTGTTCCCTGAGGTGAGCCCCAAGCGCCTGACTGTGCTCACGGTCACCCAGAAGAGCAACCACGACATGACTGTGTGGAGCCAGGAGGTGGAGGAGGAGAGGGAGCTGCTCCTGGAGAACGTGAGCTCACCCAAAAACTCTTAATTCAACCCTTACTCCTGAAGCTTTGCTGCCTCTCCAGGGTTTAATTTATTTTTTTTAATCTTTATATTATATTACCTTCCATACACATATTATATAGATCTATATTCGGAGGTGGAGGAGGAGAGGGAGCTGCTCCTGGAGAACGTGAGCTCACCCAAAAACTCTTAATTCAACCCTTACTCCTGAAGCTTTGCTGCCTCTCCAGGGTTTAATTTAATTTTTTTTAATCTTTATATTATATTACCTTCCATACACATATTATATAGATCTATATTATCTTCATACATTACTTTAGAAATATTATTTATAATACAATTCTATTCTAACTTTTCATTATTAATTATCATTTACTATTTAAGTGCAGTGATTCCACTGCACTTTTTTCTGGTCAAAAATGTAAAAATCACCAATTTCTCTGGGATTTTTCCCACTTTAATGAATGGTTTAAATTCTTTTTACCCTGGATCTCAGTTCTGTTTTTTCATCTCAATTTTGTCTTGTTCTTTCACCTCTAGAGGGCTCTGAAAATCACTTTATTTCTCATTTTTCACTATTTTGCCATTTCCCCACCAAGTGTCGCTGTTCACTGCCCTTAGCACCTCAAAAAAAGAACATTTCTGCCTGTTCTTTGTAAAATATCCCCAAACCCAACAATTCATCTGGAAATAAATAATATTTATGCTTGAAATTAATCTGGCATTGCCCTAAAATGCAAATGTGTGCTCTCTAAATCAACCACAAAAAAAGGAATCAACAGAAAATGACACAGAAATTAAAATTCCCTTCATTTCAGTGTGTTCTTCTCTTTGAATTATTTCTGGCCTGTTGATCTTTGGTGTTTTAATCTGCTCTAATTGTGTGTTAATTGGCATCTTTCTTCCTCAGGCACCTCCCTGTCAAGTCTAATCCAGTCACAGGGGGGGTGTGAGGTTAAAACCAGCAAATTCACAGGGAAATGTTGGTTTGCTTGCAGAATTCACCTGAAAAATCCTCATTTTAGGGGCTAAAAAAGAGGTTATACAGCCAAATTGAAATATTTGTATTAATCCAGATCAAGTGTTCATTAACCTCACTCTGAGGGACCAGGAGAGATCCTGGATCAGAAATGTTGTGCCTAAATTTGTGATAATTAGGATTTCATTTACAATTTGGACATAATTAATCATCAGAGCAGTCAAACTTCAAAATACAGAACTTACTGGGGTGAATTTTCCTTATTGTGAACTAATACAGAATTTACTGTAAAGGGTAAAATTCCCTCATTTTGAACTAACACAGAATTTGCTGTAAAGGGTAAAATTCCCTCATTTTGTATTGAAAAGGATAAATAAATTTTCTCTCATTTTCACCTAACACACAATTTAATGTAAAGGGTAAAATTCCCTTATTCTGAATTAATGATTTATTGTAAAGGGTCAATTTCCCTCATTTTAAACTAATACAGAATTTGCTGTCAAGGGTAAAATTCCCTCATTTTGTATTGAAAAGGATAAATTTTCCTTATTTTCAGTTAACACAGGATTTACTGTAAAGGGTAAATTCCCTCATTTGGAACTAATACAGAATTTACTGTAAAGGCCAAAATTCCCTCATTTTGAACTAACAAAGAATTTACTGTAAAGGATAAATTTCCTTTATTTTGAACTTACGCAGAATTTGCTGTAAAGGGTAAATTTCCCTTATTTTGGACCTTTAAGGGACTGAAGCTGCATAAATAGTATTTTTATAAATTTGGAACCTTGAGCTTCTTAGGGCACTAATTGCAGAGAAAATCCAATTTTTACAACTGTAAGTAAATAAAGAGTTTTATTTATAACAGGTAAAGTTAGAAATCATTCTTTTTGTGTGATAACCTCATTTAATACCTTTCTTTTCCCAATTTTTTTCCCTTCCAGTTCATCAATGGTGCCAAGGAAATCTGCTATGCAATTTCTTCTGAGGGCTACTGGGCTGATTTCATTGATCCATCCTCAGGACTGGCAGTAAGTTCTTTCTTGCAGGGTGGAATTGGGCTTAAATCCAGCTTTTTCAGGATAATTCCTTGAATGAATGAAGATTTATGAGCTCAGCTGTGAGGGCAGGGCCAGCACTGTCAGGAAATGAAGCTGGGTTTTAGGGAACTGGAGAAGTTCTGTGCCCCAGATCCCTTGGGCACTTTCTGCCCTGCCCAGGTAACTTGGGAACCCTGACACCTGTGCAGGTGAAGGCTTGAAAAAACCTCTTTGCACCTGTTAATGATCCCTTTGTCCCCAAAAAGTGAGCTTTTTGTTCCTGTGGGACACTGGCAGCTTTCAGTGGGAGGTGGGTTTTAGTCTGAGCTCTGCTAAAACCGTATCATAGTTCAAGGGGACGGTGGCAAAGCTCAGCTTAGTGGGGTTTTATTTAAAAACACTCCAAAAAGCAGGGATTTATTGTGTCAACAGAGGCAGAACAGGCAGGTCAGGGGTGGAAAAGCTGCCCAGAATTCAGTGCCTTGGAGGAATTAGGGATTGATGGAAGTGGGGTTTTGTCTTCAGACTCCAGCAGTAACATCCTGGCCCAGGACCAGGGGTGGGTTTTAAGTCAGAGGCTTCCTCCTGAGATAAAGAACTGAAATATCTGTGTGCAACTTAAATACCCATTCACTTTAAATACCAGTTCACTTTAAATACCAGTTCACTTTAAATACCAGTTCAATTTAAATACCAGTTTAATTTACATACCAGTTTAATTTAAAAACACTCCAAAAAGCAGGGATTTATTGTGTCAACAGAGGCAGAACAGGCAGGTCAGGGGTGGAAAAGCTGCCCAGAATTCAGTGCCTTGGAGGAATTAGGGATTGATGGAAGTGGGGTTTTGTCTTCAGACTCCAGCAGTAACATCCTGGCCCAGGACCAGGAGAGGCTTCCTCCTGAAATAAAGAACTGAAATATCTGTGTGTGACTTAAATACCAGTTTAATTTAAATACCAGTTTAATTTGAATGCCTGTTTGCAACTGAAATATCAGTTTAATTTACATACCAGTTTAATTTAAATGCCTGTCTGCAACTCAAACACCAGTTTAATTTAAATACTTAAATACCAGTTTAATATAAATACCTGTTTGCAATTTAATCGCATTTTTGCTTTCCTGACCAACTTTCTTTAGGGTCTTATTGCAAAGTTAAGTTGTTCATTTTGCAGTTTCCTGGGCAGTTTCTCTCCTTAGTCCGTGTGCTGTTTCTGGCAGGGTTGTGTCCTTAGCAGCACCCAGAGGTGAGGGTGGCACTGGGATTGGAAAGGAAAACCTTTCAAACTCCACACAGCTGCACCCAGGCTTAGCTTTCAAACACCCAATTTGAACTCCTCATGTGGAAAACCATTTTCCCTTGTTGTTTTCCCCCAGTTTTTCGGGCCTTACACCAACACCCCCCTGCTGGAGACGGACGAGCGCTACCGGCACTTGGGGTTTGCCGTGGATGACCTGGGCTGCTGCAAGGTCATCAGGCACAACCTGTGGGGCACCCACGTGGTGGTGGGCACCATCTTCACCAACGCCGAGCCCGACAGCCCCATCATGAGGAAACTCAGTGGCAACTGAGCCTGCAGCTCCCCCGGGCACCTCGGAGTTCTGCTCCCTCGGCGTGCTCAGGATTCCTCATGTCCAGGTGTTCTTAGAGAATAAAAGTAGCTGTTATTTATTTCTGGTCTTTTGGGAATGTGTGTTCACCACGTGTGGCTTGGCAGCAGTGAGAAGCAGAGGAATGATCATTTCCTTTCTCAGTTTTCCAGTTTTTCTCTTACCTCGGCAATTCTTTCACTGGTCAGTTTAGTAGTCAGAATTCTCTGAGAATGCCACTGAAATTCCCAACAAATCTGCCATTCCTGAAATTAGGAACTGGCAAAAAAAAAAAAGAATGAGTCATGAAATTGTTCTTCCAGAATACAGAACTTAATAAAATCTGGGCCAATCACTCATCTGCTGTTGGAAAATGAGAATGAGGTCAACTTCCAGTGGTCTCCAGCTCATCCAGAGACTCCACAAAAAGTCCTTAATTACCCTGGAATTACTCATCTCTTACTGGTTTTTGTCTTCATGGTGCTTGGGATTTATTTTCTCAGTGTTAGCTAAATATATTTAATTAGTTTATATACTTATATGTAATTTTAAGTTGCTTTTGTAACTTTCTTAGGTCATTAAATACAGAAAAAAAAAAGAGATAATGGGGCAAGGCTTGGATCTCATCATTGTTTTCCTGTGCTTGGATGCAATCTAGACTTGCCTCTGGAATTTGGAAATGCAAAGAGCAATTAGGATCAATTATGGCAATTAGAAAGATGTTTCAACAGGAAGGTTCCAGGCTCCTCAGGTCTCACCAACAATCAGATTGATGGGGCAGGAATTCCAAGGCTCCTGAAACACCTGGAATTTCAGTGCCTTGCAGTTTGGCTCTGGGGCTGAAGCAATACAGCACATTTGGATCTCATCCCAGGCAGTCTGGGGCCGTTTTTCATGGAGCAATGGGAATCCTGCAGGCTTTATTCCCCAGGAATGTGCAGCAGTTCACTCTGAGTGAGGATCCAGGAATTTTAACTTGATCTTTGGTGTTATCCCCAGACAGTTTTGGAGGCATTTTTCATGGAAAAATGGGAATCCTGCAGGCTTTATTCCACAGGAATGTGCAGCAGCTCAGTCTGGGTGAGGATCCAGGGATTTTAACTTGATCTTTGCTGTTCTCCCAGAGAGTTTTGGAGCCATTTTTCATGGAGCAATGGGAATCCTGCAGGCTTTATTCCATGGGAATGTGCAGCAGCTCAGTCTGGGTGAGGATCCAGGGATTTTGACTTGATCTTTGGTGTTTTTCCAGTGTTACCCAACCCCATGGATTCCAGAGCTGTCGCAGGCTCTAAGCCAGGCCCACCAAAGCTGTTGTGGCTTTAGGAGCAGCTCCCTGCCCAAGTGCCTCTCTCTGTCCTGTCCCCACTGCACATCCTTGGCCTGGCTGCATCACAGAGCTGGGAGCCAGGAGCACTTCCCAAAGTTTCCATTCCCAAATTCTCCCTCTCCCCTGCAGTGCTGGCTCTGGATTTCGGGGCAGGAATTTGTGCTGTGGTTGCAGAGCCCATCCCTGACCTCTGCTCTCCATAAAATCTCTGTTTTGTGGATTTTATTCCTGGTTTTTTTCCCTCCTCCTCACCAATAAGATTAAAGAATTTGAGAACTGCAGTGTGTTGTGTCTGTTTGCAAAATCCACGCAGGAGGGCTCTCACTGTGGGAATTTTCTTGGATAAATATTGGAAAAATTGTGGAATTCTTCACATAAATTGTAAATACCTTGAAGATTTGATGTTTTATCTTCAGCTTCCTGTAATTCCAGTTAAGCTTGGGATGCTCATTTTTGACTTCAGGTTCTTTTAAGTTCTGTCATGTAAAGGACAAAAAAAATCCATTTTCCAGTGGCTTTTCCTGAGGCAGAAATCCCACTGGAATATTGGGAATTTTCTCTTGACCTCATGCACATTAATGTTTCATGTCAGGGTTTGAGGGGAGCTCCAATTCCTGATATTTTCCTAATTAGAATTTTCTCATTAATCCCCAAAAATTAGCTGGAGCTATTCCAGCTGTGTTTTCCTCCCATCTCAAGAGCCAGACTGAACTTTCTCCTATAAAATCAAACTTCCAGAATACAAAACAATATAACCTACAATAAAATAATAAGAATAGTAATAACAATAATTAGTAACAATAATAATAATAATAATAATAATAATAATAATAATAAATAATATAAAGTAGCAAATCCCAAAAAGTTTTCAGCCACTGCAGAGAGAATTGTTGATGTTGAGGTGCAACACTCACAGCTAATTATCTCTGCTTAGCTAATTAACACCAGGGAAGTATTCTGGGATGGATCTGGAGGATTCTATTCCAGATTTTCTCCCTTGGGAGTTCATTGCTTTATTCCTGGTGTGCTCCTGCAGCAAGTGCAGGATTTCCAGTTTATATTTTTATATGTAAACACATATTTATATCAATTTTTATTAAGCTGTGCTTAACTTGGGAGAGAGCAAATAGACTAAAAAAAATTCAAATTAATTCTCTACATTCTGCCAGGTGGAGGGAGTGAAAGTCCTGCAGAATAAATGTGGGAAAAACATTTGGAAAAATGAGTGTCCAGTGCTTAAAGATAAAAATGTTGAATATATATAATATAAAACTATATCTAATATACAATTATATATAAATATAAAATAAATATAAAAACATAAAATTCATAGATATATAATATACAAATAATAGAAATATTTGCATAAATATATCTGGGAGCTGGGCTGGGCTGTTGAGGAGGAGAATGCTCTTTTCCATGGGGATTCTTTGTGGGATTCTTTGTGGGATTCTGTATTTGTGGGATTTTTTTGGCTGTCCCTGCATCCCTGGGAGTGTCCCAGGCCAGGCTGGATGGGCTTGGAGCAGCCTGGGATTCAAATTCCTGGGATTCAAATTCCTGCCGTTTATTTTAGTTGATGCCTTTCCCTCAGTGTTGATGACTTTAATTGCAATTAGGATGGGGAATTGCTTCCCTCAGCCATCCAGGACTCACCTGAGCACTGATTTTTCCCCTGGAATGAGCCCAGCTTTATTTTTATTCCAGTTTTTGGGGCACTTTTCCAGCTGTGTGACGTGATCCCGTTAAAACCAGCTCTAACTGCCATCCCACAAACCCAGAGCAGAAAAAAAAAAGGTTCAACTTTGCAGCCACCCGGAGCTTTCTGTGCCCTTCCCAGTGGGGCTTTTCCCAAAATCCCGGATTTTTCCAGGAGCTGTGGCCCTGTGCCCACCCAGCCACCCCAGCTTGGGGCAGAATCAAACTCTGTCCTGGCTTTTCTAGGGCACAATTCCTTCTGTTTCCATAAAAGCCTCTGGGTGAGGCAGCTTAGGCCTGGCCTAGCCACGCAAAGCTGGACTTTGTGCCTTGTTAATACCGGAGTTAAAGATTTGGGGTGAGACTCTTTAAGCTGATCACACAAATGAGACTGAGTTGTTGCCTAAATGTAAACTTCACATTTCTTAAACCTGCAAATTTTAGCAGCAAAGCTGAGCCCAAAGTTGGTCTCTGCTTAAACAGCAACCCTTCCCTCAGCCATCAGAAACTAAAGTTTCCCCCAGGCTTGCCCAGTTAAACCCAGCCTAGACTAAACTCAGCTAATCCTGGCTCTTCCCTGAGGATGAAGTGGAATTTTGGTGCCTCATTTGTGTCTGGGAAAATGTCTGGAATTCTCCAGGACTGGAATTCTCAGCAGGGCAGGAGGAGCCCAGCAGGTCTGGGATGGATAACCTGGGTTTGTGCTGAGGACAAGGACACTCAGGAGCTGAAAAAATCCCCTTTACAGATAAAAATACCTTTTATATGTATTTTTTTATGTATATAAAAATATATATGTTCATATAAAAAATAGATCGAAATATAATATATTGTCTCTTTATATATTGACTCATTATATCTATTTTATATAAATATATAAAATAAAAATATATTTATTTTATTTTAAGAATAAGTATTTAAATATATATTAAATTATTGAATAGAAAATATAATATAATATAATATAATATAATATAATATAATATTATATTATATTATATTATATTATATTTTCTATTCAATAATTTAATATATATTTAAATACTTATTCTTAAAATAAAATAAATATATTTTTATTTTATTATATATATTATATTATATTACATTATATTATATATTATAGTATTATGTAGTAAATATATATTAAATTATTACATAATTATTATATTTTAAAATATTTATATATATAAACAATATATTTATATGATTTATATATGTATATATATGTATATATAGATATATATGTGTGTATATATATATTAAGAAATATAAAATAATATCTAATTTATATCAACCTGGGTTTGTGCTGAGGACAAGGACACTCAGGAGCTGAAAAAATCCCCTTTACAGATAAAAATACCTTTTATATGTATTTTTTTATGTATATAAAAATATATATGTTCATATAAAAAATAGATCGAAATATAATATATTGTCTCTTTATATATTGACTCATTATATCTATTTTATATAAATATATAAAATAAAAATATATTTATTTTATTTTAAGAATAAGTATTTAAATATATATTAAATTATTGAATAGAAAATATAATATAATATAATATAATATAATATAATATAATATTATATTATATTATATTATATTACATTATATTATATATTATATATATAATATAAAATAATATCTAATTTATATCACATATAATTTAAGTGGGGCTTAAACACCTGGGGGGTTTTGTGCCAGCCGGGATTTCCTGCTCCAGCAGGGATTTCCATCCTCCAAGAAACCTCCCAGGAAAATTCAATCCCAAGGCCACAAAACTCAGGAGAGCCCCTCCAGGAATCTGCATTTCCCTGTAATTCCCCCCTCCAAAAAAAGGCATTTTGAGCCTTAAAAATACCAAAATTCGATACAGCAGGGATAGGAAAAAGGGATTTCCTTCAGATTTTGTCTCTTGTTCCCATAAAACCTGGGGTTGAGCCACCTTGAAGTAAGAAATCAATTAATTAACTAATGACAGCAGAATGAAATGCTGCAGTGCAGTTATTTAGACATTCCCCAGGATTGCTTTGGTGACTGCAGAAATTCCATTTTTTCCTCGATTTTTGGTTTTTTGCCCGCTGATCTGTGCTCCCTGTGTGTGAAATCCAGAATATTCCAGGATTACTGACAAATCCTGGTGGGGTGAGAGGAGGTGCAGGAGTGAGGGGAGAGAGAAAAACCAGGAAAATTCAGAATTTAGGGACAAAAGCATGGACAAAACATGAAAAGGAAATTAGGGGGAGAGGGGAGAGAGAAAAACCAGGAAAATTCAGAATTTAGGGACAAAAGCGTGGACAAAACATGAATTCTTGCAGGCAGGAAAATGAGCAGGAATCAAAGAAATGCAGGGATTTAACTCCTAATTATAGGAGTTAAATATAATAGAAATATAATAATTTATAATTATTTATATTATATTTAATTTCATTTAAATTCCCCCTGTAAGTAATGAATTATTCCCATGTGTTCCTCCTGTTGAGCTCCAGGTATAAATTGTATAAATGATTTGCTGTAAATTGTTTTATACTGGACACAAATCTGAGGAATTCCTGTTTATTTTTGGATCCCTGGGTTCTGTTTTCCCTCTCTGCCCTGGGGAAAATTCCATATTTTCCAGAATTTTGTCCCATTTATCCTGCCCTGGGTGGTTTTTTCCTGGCTTTCCCTCTAATTCCACAGCTGGAATTTTATCAGACGCCTCGCAGTGAACATTGAACCCTTTTATTTATACAAATGTACAAGAATTTACACCAAAATTAAAATTAAATTTACACAAGAATTTAATTTTAATTAAACATTTCAAAGGAATAAATATGGTGCAGCTCAGCATCTGTGGGATTTGGAACCCCAAACTGCTGCAGGGGGGTTCACACTCCTCAATTTCCTTTTTTTAAAGCATCCAGGGAGATGCCACAGGAGGGACGGGCTTGGAATTTTTTTGGGAATCTCCAGAGCTAAGTGGAATTTGCATAGAAAAAGAGATTAAAACTCTTAAAACCAGAGATGGGTGAAAGGAGAGCAAAATTCCAGGTTGGGCTGGGGGTGAAACAAAAAAAAAGTTGATTTTATAGGAAAAATCATTGAAAACAAACAGTGGTGAAGGTCAATTTTTATAAAGATGTATATCTATAATTTATATATATGTATATAATTTTAAAAATAACATTCCCTGTAAAACACATTGAGGATTTCCTTCAGATTCCTGATTTTGCAGAATATCCCACATGGATTCTGTGAGCTCTCCAGGAATCTGCATTTCCCTGTAATTCTCCCCAAAAACCCCCATTTTAAGCCTTAAAAATACCAGAATTTGATAGAGCTCGAGTTACCTTGGAGCAGGAATAGGAAAAAATTCGCTCCTGAAAGAATAATTAATGATTCATTTTACAAAAATTAATTATAAAACAGTTTAAAGCAAGTCCATGACACCCTGCTTTTATTACTGACTTTGCAAGACAAAGTTGATTCTTTTAAAAAGTGATTTTTAATATATATATATTTATATTTCTATATAATTTTGATCATTTATATATTACAGGCTCGCTGACTTGCAAACCATCCCTTTTTCCTGGCATGATCAGCGGGTTTTGGAATCTTTTCCAGCATTTCCAGACCCTCCTGGACCTACAAAAATAAATATTGCATCCGTGATTTCCCAGCAAAGCCAGCACCACGGGTCACCCAAACTGCCCAGAATCCCGGAATAAAAATCCCAGGAGAAGTTTGGGATCAATTTCCTCTCGTTCAGGTTGTGGCCTTTGGGGCTAAAATGGGGAAATATTGGAAATATTCCCCCTGAGCCAGCGGGAATCAGGGGAGCAGCCGCTCGTCATCCTCACCCTGAGGGGTGCGAACCTCAAATCCCGCTGGAAATGGGGATTTGGGGGAATTCTCTGGTGGAATTTGGGAATTCCAACTGGTTTTGTGCTGGAAATCGGGATGTTTAGGGATTTCTCTGGTGGAATTCCAGCGGTTTCCTGCCGGAAAGGAGGATTTTTAGGGATTTCTCTTGTGGGGGCTGGAAATTCCAGCAGTTTCCTGCTGGAAATGCAGATTTATAGGGATTTTTCTGCTGGAGTTTGGGAATTCCAGCAGTTATCCATTGGAAATCAGGATTTTTGGGGATTTCTCTCGTGGGGGTTGGAAATTCCAGCGGCTTTCCACTAGAAATTAGAATTTTTAGGGATTTCTCTGGTGGAATTTAGGAATTCCAGCGGTTTTCCACTGGAAAATGCAGTTTTTTTGGGACTTCTCTGGTTGAGCTTGGGAATTCCACTGGCGTTCCACTGGAAATGTGGATTTTTAGGGATTTCTCTGGTTGAATTTAGGAATTCCAGGGGTTTTCTGCTGCAAATGAAAATTTTTAGGGGGGGTTGGAAATTCCAGCTATGTTCTGCTGGAGATGTGGATTTTTAGGGATTTCTCTGGTGTAATTTGGGAATTCCAGCGGTTTTCCCCTTGAAATGCGGATTTTTTGGAGATTTCTCTGGTTGAATCTAGGAATTCCAGTGGTTTCCCACTGGAAACGCGGATTTTTTGGGATTTCTCTGGCGGAATTTGGGAATTCCAGCAGTTTTCCACTGAAAACGCGGATTTTTAGGGATTTCTCTGGTGGGGGTTGGAAATTCCAGCCCTGTTCCACTGGAAATGCGGAATTTTAGGGATTTCTCTGGCGGAATTTGGGAATTCCAGCGGTTTTCCCCGTGTCCCGGGTAGGGATCTCCTCCGTCGCAGGCGCTGCTTCCTCGCTGCCGATCCCTGCCCGTCCCAGCAGGAGCCGCGGGAACGCTGCAGCCCCCATCCTGTGTTAATTACCGCGTGTTAATCAGCCGGCGGGGTTAATGAGCTGGGAACACGGTGACGCCAGCAGTGACGTAACACTCCAAGCGCCAGCTCTTGGCCGAGATAAGCCAGGCTTAGCAAAGTTAGGCTGGGCTTGGCTTTCCCAGCCCCGAGGTTTTTCGGGAACGGTCCCGGGATCCTCCCCAGAGTTCCTGCGGCACTCGGGACACAAAGCGGGAATTCTCCGGCGCCGTCCTAAACTCGGGATTAGCCAAAACCGGGCGGGAGCTCAGGAGGCCGGGCTGGCTCAGCGTGCCGCTGTCCCTGTCACCATCCCCATCCCCGTCCCTGTCACCATCCCCGTCCCTGTCCCTGTCACCATCCCCATCCCTGTCCCCGTCCTGTTCCTGTTCTTGTCACTGTCCCTGTCGCTGTCGTTGTCACCGTCCCGACCCTGTCCCTGGCACTGTCCCCATCCCTGTCGCTGTCCCTGTCACAGTCGTTGTCACTGTCCCATCTCTGACCCTGTCGCTGTTCCTGTCCTATCGCGCTCTCTGTCCGGTCCCTGTCCCTGTCATTGTCCGGTCCCTGTGGCTGTCACTGTCCCTGTCGCTGTCCCTGTGGCTGTCCCTGCTCGGTCCCTGTCCCTGTCGCTGTCCCTGTCCCTGTCGCTGTCCCTGTGGCTGTCACTGTCCCTGTCGCTGTCACTGCTCGGTCCCTGTGGCTGTCCCTGTCCGGTCCCTGTCCCTGTGCCTGTCCCTGTCCCTGCCCGGTCCCTGTCCCTGTCGCTGTCCCTGTGGCTGTCCCTGTCGCTGTCCCTGTCACTGTGCGGTCCCTGTCCCGGTCCCTGTCCCTGTGGCTGTCGCTGTGGCTGTCGCTGTCCCTGTGGCTGTCACTGCTCGGTCCCTGTCCGGTCCCTGTCCCGGTCCCTGTCGCTGTCCCTGTCCGGTCCCTGTCCCGGTCCCTGTGGCTGTCGCTGTCCCTGTGGCTGTCCCTGTCGCTGTCCCTGTCCCTGTCCGGTCCCTGTGGCTGTCCCTGTCCAGTCCCTGTCCCTGTGGCTGTCGCTGTCCCTGTGGCTGTCCCGGTCCCTGTCCCTGTCCGATCCCTGTCGCTGTCCCTGTCCCTGTGGCTGTCCCGGTCCCTGTGGCTGTCGCTGTCCCTGCCCGGTCCCTGTGGCTGTCCGGTCCCTGTCGCTGTCGCTGCGGCTGTCGCTGTCGCTGCGGCTGTCGCTGTCACTGCGCCGCCCCCGCGGCTGTGGCTGCGAGCCAGCGCGGTGCCAGCAGCGCCAGGCCGAGCGCGAGCGGTGTGGCCAGGCCGGGCGGGGCCGGCGGCGCGGCGCTGAGCGGGGCCAGCGTGGCGAACACGGCGTCCGAGGCGTTCCGCGGCAGCGGCAGGTTACAGATGGTGCCCTCGCAGCAGGACGTGCACACCTGGCAGGGAGAAACGGGAATGAGGGACTGGGGGGAACAGGGAATGGGGGGTTCCGGGGGAAACAGGAAATGGGGGGTTCCGGGAGAAACAGGGAAAAACAGGGAATGAGGGATTCCAGAGAAAAACAGGGAATGAGGGACTCGGGGAAAACAGGGAAAACGGGGAATGAGGAATTCCGGGGGGGAAACAGGGAATGAAGAATTCCATGGGAAAAACAGGGAATGAGGAATTCCAGAGAAAAAACAGGAAAAACAGGGAATGCGGAATTCCAGGGAATGAGGAATTCCGGGGGGGAAACAGGGAATGAAGAATTCCATGGGAAAAACAGGGAATGAGGAATTCCAGAGAAAAAACAGGAAAAACAGGGAATAGGGGATTCCGGGGGGAGAAACAGGGAATGAGGGATTCCGGGGGAAAACAGGGAATGAAGGATTCCAGGGGAAAACAGGGAATGAGGGATTCGGGGAAAAACCAGGAAAAACAGGGAATGAGGGATTCCGGGGGAAAAACAGGAAAAACAGGGAATGAGGAATTCCATGGGATGAGGAATTCCGTGGGGAAAAACGGGGAATGAGGAATTCCAGGGAAAAAACAGGGAAAATAGGGAATGAGGAATTCCAGGGAATGAGGAATTCCGAACAGGGAATGAGGAATTCCATGGGATGAGGAATTCCCGGGGGAAAAACAGGAAAAACAGGGAATGAGGAATTCCAGGGAATGAGGAATTCCGTGGGGAAACAGGAAAAATAGGGAATGAGGAATTCCAGGGAATGAGGAATTCCGGGGAAAAAAAAGGGAATGAGGAATTCCGGGAGGAAAACAGGGAATGAGGGATTCCGGGGGGAAAACAGGAAAAACAGGGAATGAGGAATTCCGTGAGAAAACAGGAAAAATAGGGAATGAGGAATTCCAGGGAATGAGGGATTCCGGGGGGAAAACAGGAAATGAGGGATTCCGGGGGGAAACAGGGAATGTGGGATTCCAGGAGAAAAAAAAAAAACACAGGAAAAACAGGGAATGAGGAATTCCGTGAGAAAACAGGAAAAATAGGGAATGAGGAATTCCGGGGGGGAAAACAGGAAAAACAGGGAATGCAGAATTCCAGGGATTGAGGAATCCCGGGGCAAACAGGGAATGACAGAATTCCAGGAAAACGGGGAGTGCAGAATTCCAGGGAAAAACAGGGAATGTGGAATTCCAGAAAATAGGGAATGAGGAATTCCAGGGAATGAGGAATTCCGGGGAAAAAAAAGGGAATGAGGAATTCCGGGAGGAAAACAGGGAATGAGGGATTCCGGGGGGAAACAGGGAATGTGGGATTCCAGGAGAAAAAAAGAACAGGAAAAACAAGGAATGAGGAATTCGGGGGGAAACAGGGAATGAGGAATTCCGTGAGAAAACAGGAAAAATAGGGAATGAGGAATTCCGGGGGGGAAAACAGGAAAAACAGGGAATGCAGAATTCCAGGGATTGAGGAATCCCGGGGGAAACAGGGAATGACAGAATTCCAGGAAAACGGGGAGTGCAGAATTCCAGGGAAAAACAGGGAATGTGGAATTCCAGCGAAAAACAGGGAATGCCACAATTCCAGGGAGAAAGGCACAGGGAAAACAGGGAATGGGGGAATTCCATGAAAACAGGGAATGCCAGAATTCCAGGGAGGAAAATGAAGGGGAAATAACGGTACATTTGCAAAGGAGCTCTCTGTGATTTTTCTCCTTTTTTTCCCTCTCCTTCCAACTTTTTTTCCCTCCATCTGTTGGGAGAACAATTTTTCTCCTTTTTTTTTCCCTTTCCCTTTTTTCCCTCCTTTTTTTACCATTCCCAAAGGAAACTGGATTTCAGCTGAATTTACCCACTGACCCAGCCAGGCTTCTGGCACACTCCAATTACTCCACAAATGATAATTTCTATCATAAATACGGCACACATGATGCATAAATATTATACTCACATTATATTCCATACTTCCGTATCTGATCTATATTCTATATTATTATAGATTAGATTATATCTAAAATATTGCAATACACTGTATATATTGCATATACAATATGTAGATATAATTAATACATTATATATACATTGTACGTATATTATATACAGTATATACATATAATATATAATATTATATTCTATATCAGTATACATAATAGTATACTGATATAGAATGTATAATAATGTATAATATTAATAATAATAAATGTATAGAATATTAAAATACATCACAGAATATTATATAATAATAAAACATATATATTATATTATATATTATATTATCTATTATATATAATGCAAAATATATAATATATATAATGTTTAATATATTATATATTAGATAATATATAATATAGTATATATTACATACAATATAATATAGTATATGTTATATAGTATATATAATATACTCTATGCAATATAGTATATACAATATACTATATACAATATATATAATATACAATATATAATATATAATACATAATACATTATATGTAATACATTACATATTATATATACTATATACTATATAATATATGATATATAATATATTATACATTATACATTATGTATTGTATATTATATATTATATATTATATATTATATATTATATTTTGATATTATATATGTTTTATATATTATATATTTGATATTACATATGTTTTATATTATATATTTTTTATATATATATATGATATTATGTTATATTTTTTCATTTTTTATCTATATCTGCACATACTATATTTACAAAACCACCCCCAATTCTCCAATTTTTCCTCTGTTTCCCACACCTTGTACTCCTCGTGCCTGATGTAGGTGCAGCCCGTGCTCAGGCACTCCTCCAGGGCCACGCAGCGCTTGGTGACAGAGACGCTCTCCCCGCTGGCCCTCATCATGTGCTGGCTGAAGCAGTACCTTGTGCCTAGAAAACACGGGAAAGTCTTTATCTGCCCAATTCCTGTTCCCTGAGATGCCACCAGCAGGAGAAATAGGAAAAAGTATCCAGAATTTTAATCAAATAATGGGATTTTTTTAAAAATACCAATTTTGGTTGTATTTATCGTAGATCATGCGCTGGCTGGAGCAGTCCCTAAAAAACATGGAAATATTTATCTGCCCAATTCCCCACTGCCCTTTTTCCTGTCAAAACGAGGAATTTCTGGGAATACTGGGCTGATCCCAAGCCCGCCAGCCTGGGGGGTTTTATTGCTGCTGATTTGAGTGCAAAGGAAGCAAATTCTGGGGCTGATAACGGGCCTGACACAGGCTGCAAACACAGCGGGGTCATCTCCTTCCAAAATAAATATTTCCCAAAGGCAGAATCCCAAAACAACCCAGCTAAAAGGGATTCGCTGGGGCTGTGGATAATCAAGATGTTCTGTGAGGGTTTTGTTTCTCTGTCTCAGAAGAGAACTGGTGAAGGAGAGGAGATCTGGTGAGCTCAGATCTGATTTTTGAGTATTTTATTAAAGGGTTTTTCTGAGCTGTTCCCAATTTCAGACTCCAAGGGGATTTATGGGATCACTGAAAATACCAAAATTCCAGCCGTGGCTGCCCTGAATGTGGATTTGTGCCGTAGGGGAGGGTGGTGAACACAGCCAGAACTCGTCCTGTATTCACCAGTAAGAGAAATAAAACTCTTCAAAATCCTTCCCCTGTGAGGGTGGAAGGAGTTGGGAGGGAATTCCCAGAGAAATTCTGGCTGCCTGTGGATCCCTGGAAGCGGCCAAGGCGAGGTTGGAACACCCTGGGATCATGGACGGTGTCCTTGCCCGTGGAATGGGATGAGCTTTAAGGTCCCTTCCCACCCAAACCAGTCTGGAATTTTAGGAGAGCAGCACCAGCCTGACTGAATCCCCAGCTGAGCCAGAGGAAAACAGGGAATAGCTCCAAGTCCTCAACCTCATCCGCTGCAAGGAGACTGAAAAGCTGAAGGGGTTCACTCCAGAATCCCATATCCCACATTTCTGGCAGGGACAGGGGGTTTGGGATGGAGCCCTGGCGTGGGGTGGTTACCTCGGGGGCAGTAAACATCCGGAGCCCAGCGGTTGCACTCGTAATTGTCTGAGGCCTTCTCACAGGTGAAACACTTAAACCCACGAGGATACGGCGTGGCTGAAAGGAATGGAAAACACGGAGTTAAAAGGAATGGGAAATGGAGTCAAAATGACCCCGTAATCTGGTTCTGTGCTGCTTTTCGGGAGAAAACAACATTTTTTCTCTTTAGACCCGAATTTCTCCAGATTTTCCTGTCAGTGTCAGTGACTTGATCCTGATTTGTAAAACGCGTCCCCCACAGCACATTCAGGTCGCTGTGGACTCGTTCCAGCTGTGTTCACCCAGCCAAAGTGCCCAGTGCTGACTGCAAAGGGAGCTGATGGGAGCTGGGAATGCTCCTTCCCTTGGAATCAGAGCTCACATCCAACGCTGCGGCTTTATCGGTGCTGATAACAAAATATCAGGTGGAGTGAAACACTCTGGGAACTGTCCCACCCAGGGAAGGAGCTGCTCCTGCTCCAGGCAGGCTCACGGCCCCAGAGGGAACAAAACCACTTTGCCCTGAACAGCAGCCTCTGTCCTAATTTATCTCTCCAAACGAGGCCTAATTCCTTAATTGCTCTCCTGGCAGCACTTCTGGGGCACTTTCAATCCCTCCCCAAGGTGCTGCCACCTTCTCGGAAGCCAAATGGTGAACGGGTCACATTTATCAGTGCTTTGAACCTCGACAGCCCCAAGGGCCACATCTTCACCCTCCTCCTCATCACCTCCTCCCCTGGCTCTGGATCCTTTTTGGGAATGAGAGGTGGAGAAAGAGGATTTCATTGCTTGTTTCCTTTCAGCTTTTAAGGAACAAGAAATCACCCAGGAGCAACACTGGTGGGGCTGGGACAACACAGTCATTAAATGAATCCCTCTCGCCCTGCACCTCTGACAGGTCACAGTTATGATACCAAACAGGAATTTCATCCTGCTTGCACAGAATATAAATTTTTCAGCCTGTGAACAGTGAGTTTTCTGTGGGAAGAGAAGGCAGGGAGAGCTCCATGGGCACCCTGTTCTCATGGAATTTGGTAAGTCTGCGTCTGATAAAGGGAACAGACTGGCGAGGGTCCAGGGAAGATCCAAAGATGCACAACTCCATTGCTCCAGGAGTTACTCGAGTCAAGGCAGGAGCTGTCGGTGCCTCAGCAGCTGCCCGTAACCCCATGTGTCCTTTCAACCCTTTTGGTCCAGTTTTACACAGAATCATGGAATAGTTTGGGTTGGACTGGGAGGGACATTAAAGCCCATGTTGTCCCACCCTCTGCCGTGGGCAGTGACAGCTCCCACAAAAACTTGGGTTTTCTTCCACATCAATTTGGCCCTGTGAGAGTGGGCACTGTACAAACCAGGTCCCTCCCAGCCCAAACCAGTCCATGTTTCCATGTTAAACCAGGTTAAAGCCAGAGCCAAAACAAAACAAACACAGCCATGGTTCAAGAAGAAGTGGGAAAAATGAAGGAAAGATGTGACAGGATTAAATGTGGTACAGAGAAACTCAGCCACCTAGTGCCTTGCTGGAACATATTCCAGTGGCCTCTGAGGACCAAGGAAATGATGCTTGGAAGTGGCTTTTGGGTTGGGCACCTGTGGGAATTTGAGTGCAAACCTAGAAGCTCAAGGCTCAGGAGATAACTGATATTTCTCTCATCCTTGTCCCTGTCCCAGGGTGTGATGCCTTGAGAAGGCTGCCCTAGAGCAGGGGCTGGGCAGAGCTCCAGAATAAAGCAGGGATTGATTCAAGGATCTCCTCCATGGATGCACAAATAGAAAAGCTGAACCTGAGGCATCAGGGGGAGGTGACTTACTGGAGGGGTGGAGGTAGACGATGTCCTTGGCGGTGAAGTCGCGGCTGCGCGCGGCCGGAGCGCGGCCGGGCAGCAGCAGGAGCAGCAGCAGCAGCCCCGGTGGCCAGGCCATGGCCCGGCCAGGACCTGCTCATGCGGCGGCCGAGAATCCCCACCTGGGCAGAGACACAATGCCAGAGTTATCCAGGCTGGAAAACACCTCTGAGAGCATCGAGTCCAACACCCCCCTGTCACCCAAACCACGGCCTGAGGGCCACATCCAGGCTGTCCTTACAAACCTCCAGGGACTGTGACTCCAGCGCCTCCCTGGGCAGCCATTCCCCAATCCCTCTTTCCTGGCAGAGAGCAAGGATGAGCAGAGCAAACACACAAGGACCTGGCCACCACCTCGCCCCCACAACCCAAGCCTTCTACTCCTCTGGTTATTTTGGCATCAACAAACACCAAAATTGTAATTATCTGAGGCCTTTTTGCAGATGAAACTCTTAAATCCACCAGGATCTGGCATGGCTGAAAGAAATGGAAAAGATGGAGCTAAAAGGAATGGATAATGGAGTCAAAATGACCCCATTAATCTGGTTCTATGCTGCTTTTCAGGAGGAAACAGCAACGTTTTTTCTCTTTAGACCCAAATTTCTCCAGCTTTTCCTGTCAGCGTCTGTGGGTTGGTTCTGATTTGTAAAACCCATCCCCCACAGCACATTTAGGTTGCTGGAAAAGGTGGACAGAGGATGTCCCTGGATTTCCAGTGCAGTGGGAAGCTGGCTGGTCGCACAGGAGGTTGGTGCTTCTGCTGACACCTCATCTCCACCTTCCTCCTGACTCCTCCTCACTGGCTGGGCCACATCTCCACGACCCTATGAGGTTCCTCCTGGTTTTATCTTGGCATTTCCTCTTGGAAAAGCCTCCATCTCAAAGCTGCAAACAAAGTCACCATTGGATTTTCTTCATCCATGATCCAAAGGGGTTTATTCCCTTTATTACACCATTAATAAATAATTTGGTGTATTTTTCCCAAGTCCCTGACTGATGCGAACGAATTAAAGCAGAACCAAATAACCACTGTGGTGCCAGTCCTGACACCATTCCAATCCCAGGCTGTGTGGAGCCACCCAGGGACACACAAGGCTAAAAAAAATCAATCTCAGATTATTAGAAACCCTTAAAAATCATGAAAGTTCCTCAAAAATCAAACAGGACAGGAAAATCCTGAAAGGATGCGGCTACGGATCCCGGCTGGAGCCGATGGTTTCCTTTGGAATCCATCCAGAACACACAGAGTTGGGATGAGTTTTTCCATCCTGATCAACCAGAAGATCTGCAACACCCAGATAATTCCTAAGCAGCTCTGAATATGTGGTGGTTATTATCTAATAAATCTTTTTTTTCTTGTTTTATTTTTTTTTCAGGAAAGATATGACAGGGGTTGGGGATGTCACCTCCAAATGTTTGTCCCACAGCAGAAATCCACCCAGAATCAGCAGCACAAAGGTTGTCATTGTCCTTGCTGTTATCTGCAAACAGCTTTTTTATTAAAACACAGTGAAATCCATAAAAAAATAGGAGGGGAAAAAAGATAACACACAGCCCAGTGCTTTAAACTTTGTTGTTTTAACCTTATGAAGAGGGAATTTTGGATTTACTCCATTGATCCCTCACAGCCAGGGGAGAATGAAATCCTGATTAGAAGCAGACAGGAAATAAATCAAACCTCTCCCAACCACGTGGAAGATGAAAGAAATGGGTCCATGTGGGATCTGGAGGCAGAATTTGGAATTTGGGACTATTTTTTTAATCCCAAACAACACCAGGAAGGTTTCACAGGCCCCACTCTTCATTTTAAGACATCAGCAGTTTGCAGTGAGACTGTCAGGAGCAAAAAATGAGGATTTGATCCTGAGCAACAGCACCAAAAAAAGAGGATTCACATCCCAAAAAGAGGAACTCGTCACAGCTGAACTCCAACTCTCATCACTAATTAACAAATTATCAACATAAAGGACAAAGAGTCTTGTAATCAAGGTTGGAAAAAGACTTCCAATATCAACAAATCCAACCATTATAGCAATATTTTAAGTTAAAGCACAGCAAGGTTGAAATAACGGCAGGAATTCCTCCCAAAGAGACAAGAATTTGTTGGGTTTGCTCATCTGAAGCACAAAACTCTTTTGTTTTTGCAGAACCGATGAAAGTCTTTCAGTTGGGAACGTTGGTTTTCCCAGTGTCCCTTTTGTGGGACCGACTGCTCACCCAGCCCCTCTCCAAATCCTGTGTGGCAGCACTCAGCCATCAGTCTGGAAAAGTGGCTGGTGTCAGAAACCCTCCAGCTGCTCCCTAAAAATATCCACATCCTTCCTCTGGTAACTGCAAAGACCTTAATTGCCAGCTTCTAATGAGTGGCAAGAAACCGTGAACGAACAGAGAGAATTCACTGCCCCACCTCCGTTTCTGTTTGAAACAGGTTTAATTACAGGCAAATAATTGCAATTTTTAAATCCTCTGGGTTAGAAAATTGTCCAGAGCGAGGCAAGCAGGGCCAAAATTTAAAATCATGTAATTTAGGGAAGTTCTTATATAGCAAGCACCTGTCCCCATTATTGTCACCATGAGCACATTCCACCTGCTCATTCCATACACACAGGTAGGGTAAAACCAGGAATTTCTGCAAGCATGGAAATACCCAGTGCCAGAAACCTAAATATTTAATAATCCATGAATATTTTGAGCATGAACACAGCAGTACATGTAGTTCTGTCTTTCATGGGGGGCAAGACAATGATGTTTAAGGTAATGATGATATTTTACAGAGAGTGGCGAAAAACATTTTGCATTAAAGTAATAATAGATACTTAAGAACTCAATATCCAAAATTTCTATATTAAATATTCAATTAATTATATATTAATTCAGTGTTCAGCACACCCATTTTCTATGGTGTTACACTCACACATGAAAATAAAATGTAAGGAAGGAGATATAAATATAGATATATAGATATGGATGCACTGTCTTAAAACCTGCACACATTTGGTTTCATTCCCAAAGTCCTACAAAATTCTGATTTTCTGCAATGGTGGATTCTCTTTAGGAATCCTATAAGCCCTAAGAAGCTTCATCAAGGGCATAAAGGGTTTTTCATTCAAGCCCCTTTTATCCAGGGCTTTCAGCCAAAACAGCCAAACTTTGTACAAACTTTTATTTTCAAGAATTCTTGGTGGCATACCAGCTGCTCCAGGGCTAAACCTCTGCTGGCAGAGCAGATACGAGGCACGGGCAGACATTTTTTCCCTCAGAATTCCCTCAGCTCTTTGTCCCGAGCCGAGCGCTCATCCTAACCTAACGGAAGCTGGCGCGTCCCACTCGGAATGCGGTGGCAGGACACGGTCACACGAGTCCCAAATTGGGTTTGGATCATTTGGATCATGCCGTCAGTTTGAGAGAAGGCCTGGGCGCTGACACAGAAATCCCGGTAACTCCATCGGCCCCGCTCCAGCGGCACCTCGGAGGCGGGATGGCCGTTCCCGATCCGGATTACCCCGGCCTGCCCTTTGCCCCGCCATGGTGCAAATGAACCATTGGAGGCCCCGAGCAGCAGCCCAGTTGCCCACTTGTCAGGTCTCATTAGGGAGGGGACATCTCGGCCTCGTTGGCACCGGCGTTGGGACAATGGAAGGTCCCAACCCTCCCCGGAGAGGAGGCCGGATATCAGGGCTCTGGAGTTAGGGGAGAAGTGTTGATGGAGGGGACAGTTATTTTTAAGGATGGCTTTGTCCCTTCTGTCCTCCTCAGGCTCAGCTGGCTGACCATGACCATGAGCTGGGCCAGCTGCAAGTTTGCAGTAAAAACACCATTCCAGGAAGGAACAAAAGGGGGGAAAAGGGAGTCAGACACCAAATCTTCCCATACAAACACTCAGCCAAAGCCAGGCAGGAAGGAATTCCTGATTCATGGGTATTTCTGTGGTTCTCCTCACGCTACTATGGCACAGGTTGCGCTGTTCAGGGCCCTCCACCCTGCTCCCAGGGGAGATGGAGCATTTCCCTGCTCTCCCTGGATTTCCAAGGCAGTGGGAAGTTGTCTGGTTGGTGGGAAGTTGATGATTCTCCCTCACAGAAAGATGATTCTGCTGACAGCTCATCTCAACCTTCCTCCTCCATCCCCTCCTTGCTGTCTGGGCCACACCGCCAAGTTGGTTCCAACTAATTTCATCCTGACATTTCCTCTTATCCTTCCCCTTGGAAGGGCCTCCATCCCAGAGCTCCCTAAATCAACTCTTCCTTGATTGAAACAAGCCAGCAAAAGCCAGGATGACAATTCTGCAGACAGCTCATCTCAACCTCCCTCCTCCATCCCCTTTAGTTCCAACTAATTTCATCCTGACATTTCCTCTTATCCTTCCCCTTGGAAGGGCCTCCATCTCAGAGCTCCCTAAATCAACTCTTCCTTGAGTGAAACAAGCCAGCAAAAGCCAGGAAAAGTTCCCTCTCAGTGGGCAGGAGACTTTGAGGCCTAAAGCAGCAATCACAGCCTGGCTGGGCAGCGCCATGTCTGAGGAACCACCGAGGCCGTTCCCGTTCTGCTGGCAGGCTCAGCTGGGCCATCCTTCCTCTGCCTTAGGGGGATTATTCCTCAGTGGGAAACAAAGTCATAGGAACTCCCGACAAGGCTGGAAGAGCTGTTCCTGGAGGCACAGTCTTCCCTCCAGGAATTCCCTCACGCACATCCCTAGTGTGACTTTCCCAAATAACTCCACAGATTTTCCTCCTGCCTTTCTTCCAGGTCACACAAAGCTACAGGTTGGACTTTCCACGACTCAATTTACAATATTTGGGTTAGTTTTTATTTCCCTTCAGCTTCCAAGCCCGAGTCATCTCTCTGTATCATCATTGTCCAAAGATGTTTTCCATCTGGCAGCTGTGCTGGATCCCAGACAACAATCCCAAGGACTATTTGAAACTTCTCCAACTCTAATTGCCTTTTCCCTTTTTCTCACTTATCCTCCTCAGCCTTTTTGTGTCTATTCTATTTAATTCTTTTGGCTTCCACCACACACGTCAAAAGGTTATGAAAAAAACCTGGAATTTTTATGAATTGCCTCCAAATCCAGCTTTTTTCCATGTGTCATTTAGGGGATTTTCTTGGCAGTTTCACCCCA